TTGCACAACTGTTCCTGACGCCTATTAGCTCTTCGCTGCCAGGCATCCAGGAACAACTCACTACTGGCATCCGGATCACTCTCCCATGTCTTCTCCCCACTTGTCCAAGGCTCAGGCACCTCCTGGTGGCCAACCAGCCTCTCTGCACCCTGCTCAGAGTCGGGGTCCTCCACATCCCCCAGAGCCGACTCATAGGGCCCCTCGCTGTCAGAGTCTGGTGGCAGCTCCAACGGCTCCTGCTGGGCCACAACAGGTTTCCTACCTAGGCAGGGGGTTGGACTAGAAGACCTCCAAGGTCCCATCCAACTCTGTTATTCTATTCTATTCTATTCTAATTTCCACTGCCACATTCTCTCAGTAATAGAACTTTTTCAAATCTGTGTACCACAAAAGATTTCTACAGTAGAGGAAAAAGTCAACATGGAGGAGACATTTTACCCTCTCTCTCTCTTTCAGACCAACAACTAGCTCCATCAACATCCAACATGATTACAATTCTCTGGTGCAAGGTATTCAGTTCATTGATGTCAGGAGAGATTTTATTCCTTGTGAACTTTTGCTCACCGGAGACCAAGCTTTCCCACTGCTTGTGGGTTCAAACGGGCAGGTTCTGATTGCTGCATCCCAATATGGGAAAGGCCGGATGGTGGTCGCTGCGCATGAAGCCATGATACAGCTTCCAGAGTTCTTGCCGTTCATTAAAAATGCTCTGGACTGGCTCAAGTCTTCTCCAACGGCACGCATAGGAGTCCACAGAAGCCTGGAGGCCCTCTCCAAGTTGCTCCTCAGTAATGGCATTAAAGTTCAACCAGATGCAACACTTGAGAGATCCCTTGGAGTATTCTGCAGAGATGCCTACGATAGTGCACAGGCTGATGATCTTCTGAAGTTTGTAAAGAGAGGCGGTGGACTGCTCATTGGTGGCCAAGCTTGGCACTGGTCATCTGAACATGGGAAGGAGGGAGTCCTGATTTATTTTCCTGGAAACCTGGTGACCAGTGTGGCTGGAGTGTATTTCACTGGCAATGTGGGAGAAAATGGGGTTTTCCCTGTGCCTGAAAAAATTCCCAGGATTCCCCTGTTCACCGAGTAAGTATTACTATGCTTCTTTGTTCTATGGTTATTAATCCTATATACAATCATGGCTTTTTGGTGACCCTTGCCCCAATAATTTAAGGCCATGCAAAAGGGGTTGCCTCAGATTAAACGATGGTCTCATTCCAAACATTATTTTGGAGAATGTTAGATTGTATGCCATGTTCTTTTCAAATAAGGTGGTTGTTTATTTCTACATGCAAAATCTCCACTTTTGTGTATACCGAACAGCGGTTGTTATTCTCCTTTTTCTGCAGTCTTCCTGCAGTCACCACTAGGCAAGATAGGTGGCATATAAATTTAATTATAAATTAAATAAAAATAAAAGATCTTTGATGCAGGTAAATCAGGGCTCTGAGAGCCGAGGTGGCGGCAGTGGTTAAATGCAGCACTGCGGGCTACTTCAGCTGACTGCAGTTCTGCAGT